CCGAGCTGTCCACACAGCAGCAGTTCAGCTAGTCGCCACTGCACATGCTCAGACTGTCCTTCCTGCCAATGTTACAGATTTGCACCTGCAGCTGCAGCTAATCATAACATCTAAAATCCAACACCAACGTTTGTCACTACATACACAACTTTCATATTTTAGCTCTTTCAGTTTTACCCTAAACAGTTCAAAGCACATGCAAAATAAATGTTCAGTCTTAATCCTGGACAGGTTTTATTAAACATGCTGAGACATGAACAGCACAGCTAATTAAGACTAACTAATGTGTTACAGCAAATAAGTGACATTAATTCAACCTTAACCACAGACAGTGAATAAATGTTTCAAATTTAAGGTAGAAAATGTATCTTTACTTTTTTTACACCGTGTATTAAATGCTAGCTTGTGGTGGTAGTAGGCTTAGGCCAATATGTTCAGGGAGCCATTACTTAAAAAAAATATAAAAACACAGCGTTTAACCATTCTTACTAAATGAAGCTTTTTCATTGTAAAAATCATTGACATCGTAATTCACTTACTGTTTAATCCAGATCTTGTCGATAGTTGATGCTCAGAAAAAAATGGCAGTTGAACACCTGTACATCGTGTGGCATCTTTTGTTTCTTTTTTTTAAATGAAAAACTTTATTAAAAGTAAAACATTACAACAGTTATCAATATACATTCAAACAAATAAACAAAAGCCAGGGGGATTATTCAAATAAACACATTAGACTAACCTGTATGAATAAAGGTTGAATGAAAAAAATAAAACAATGTGCACAAATCAAATGTTTTTATAGCTTTCTTGTTATTAGTCAGAAATGTTTACAATGTTCAGACTTCGAAGGCCTGAAAAGAGAGATGAGAGTGACTAAACTTTGACTTGTGTAAAAGGTATTTCCCTAAAACTATTGTAGCATCTGTCAGGTGCAGCAAGAATACAGGAAGGATTCACGCTCGTGTGATGTCACTTTTATTTGAACACACCCTATCTTCAACAACAACTTGTCTGGAAATGATTTCCACGTAACCACACTGGAACAACCTGAGATCAACACACTTCAGCACAGGGGTCAACCCAAACCTGAACAGGACATCAAACAGGAAAACCTATTTCAGAATCAGAATAAACTTTATTGGAATTGCACCAAGGTACAACGCGAATATGTACGTACAGTCGTCCGAAAGATGGGCGGAGTGCACGAAGCTGCAACTACAGGAGAGCGCAGCCATTTTATCCTTATCAGATAATAATCTTAGATAGGAAAAGTGGGAGAAACATGAGGGTAGATAGTGGTATTACAAAAAAAGATCTTTCACATCTTGTCCATCAGGACACGATTTGAGACATCAGAAAACTCTACCAGCGGCTCAATTAAAACATGATCACATTTGCATTTGACATCAAGGTGTTGAGATTTGTCCATGAGCTTTTTTTCAGATCAGCCACAGTTTCTGAGGATGTTGTTTTCAACCAGCAGTTCTGATAAGCTTGCACAGAAAGTCTTGGGGGGGGGGGGGGGGGGGGGTGTGTAGATGAAGCTTTTGTCCTTGGGTACTCATGTCCCAGGAGAAATGTGATAGTCAGCCTGTCTCTGAGGCCGTCGGGAGTCTGATTCAGATTAGCTTGATTCTTGTTTTTCTTCAGGCAGACAGATTTTTTTCTTCAGCCTTGAGTCCATCTGGGCGTTCTGGTTCTGAAAAAGCCTAATTGTGGGATTACATTCCACTGATCCATGCTATGAGTCTCTTTAAAGGTCGAACCCACCACGCTGACGAGTCCCAGAAGCCGCAGGTGACCTGTGATTCTCAATCACCTCCACCTTACTTATTTCCACATTCCAACCATTTTTAACAAAACACAATAATCTCACACAATTATCAAATTACCCAGCATCCCTTGCAGCTCGACCAGTTTCTCTGGGATGCTATTATCAAATTTACGATGTACAGTTCTTTCTGTTTGTCGCTTTTGACATCATGGACTCCAAACAGATACTGTGGGATCTGTCTCTGGTGAAGTTTGTCATGACATCAGACGTACTAAAGCTGCATTCATTTTAATTGTTTCACTTGGACTCAAAGTTAAAAGTTCATTTCAGATCAAATGTATGATTTTTAAGTTCACTGAACCCATAAAAGTAAGTTGTCTTCATGAAACCAAAAGAATTAAGTGAGATTAATGTAAATAAGTCCTTAAGATGAACTACTGCCCAAATACACTTTTTCAAGTGCTGCTAACTATGCTACAATAAGACAAAGCCTGAAAAAAGTCTTCTAGATTATCTGTCATAAAGAAAATACATTTTTCAGTTCTTAATGCGGTGCTTTGATTGCTTTAAACTTCTTGATGTGGCACTTTGGAAAAACATTGCCCACCTCTGCTCCACAGGTTCTGTTTTAAATGTGCTCTAGAAATAAAGTTGACGACTACAGGAAATGTGCTGCACATCAGGACACATGGAGAGTGTAGTTTGCAGTGATCTATGTGATCTGCCCTACTTGAAGCAAGGATTCTGACCAAAACGCTCCTCATCAAACTCAGATTAAATCCAGTTCCCAGACAGTGGTAGGTCTTGCAGTGAGAGCAACCTCCCCCAGGACTTTCTCTAAAAACCTACTGTAACCCACCTCTCAAGGATCAAATGACAAAGCTGGTGACAGAATGCACATGCCTTGGGCTCTGCCATTTCTCTTCAACTGTAAATGATCTCCAGACAGATGGGACAAGCCTTATACTGGTCCTTGTCATGAAGAGAGAAGTAGGCCTGTCACGATAACAAATTTTGCTGTGCGATTAATTGTCTCAGAAATTATTGTGATAAATGATAATATTCTTTGAAATTTGACAACAATTGGTCATTATTGTCCAATATAAGAAGAAATTATGCTTATTGTTTGCGTGTAGTACCTTTTTTGACCACTGGATGGCAGTATAAGACTGAACTGAAGGATGGATAGTGAGGGAGTGAGCAGCGTGTCTCTTTAAGAAGAATTGAAGGGAGGCCCCTTAATGTGACACGGGCTGTCTCTCCTTCCTGTTTTTTGGTTCTCAAAATGGTGGCCGCTCGGTGTGGTTTGAGCTCTTTAGCATAGCAGTTTTCACACAAAGCTTTTGATTTAAAAAAAATCAGTAAACAACTTCTTTGCTTCTTTTTGCAGAGAAAAACAACTTTTTAGACAAAGGCACGGGTTTCAGCTGTGAATTTTGGAGCTTTGACAAGACAGAGTTTTTTTCCCGAGGTCAGCCTGTTAGCTTAGCTCGTAGCTTAGCTGCTTTTAACGATCCAAAAACACGATTTTGGATCGTTAAAACAGATTTTAAAGAGAAAGGGAGGGGTCAGTGAAGAGCTTGTTGTCATCCAGTGTCTTCAGTAGAAAGAGAGAGACATGAAGAAACGATGAAGCCGATAAATGAAAATGAGGTCGTTAATTTTTATTTATCATGTGATTAATTGATTTATTGTTTATCGCGACAGGCCTAGCGAGAAGTCGCACCTCTGAGGATATGGGTGAACAGAAGACTTTTGCTTCACTCATGTTAGCTTCATGATCATCCAGAACCACAAAGGCCAGAGAAAAAAAGAATATCTGAAATGAGCACCTGGTAGGCCTGCACTCTAACCAGCAGGCAGCACTAACTTAAAGTATGCCAACAAAAGCACTTAAGCTCATTTTGAGTAGCCTTTGCGAGACACCGTGCTAAATAGCTGTAGCTACGGTAGTTAACCAGATTCAAAAAGGTGCTCTTAGCGAGGTGGAGCATAAGAACTGGGGAGTGACGATAATGACACATGAATATATCGTGCAGGCAGGACCTGTCATTTCTTGTCAACACATTGCTGTGTAAATTCACTGAAAGAGAATCTTATTATACTAAACTGATTGTGATTAAAAGTTTTAAATAACAATGTTTCCATGAACCACTATAAAATTGTTTTAAGATAAGAAAATCTGTTTTAGAAGTGTGCCTACCTAGACCCTATTACAAGCTAATAATGCTAGTTCAAGAAGCCCCAGTTCCAAAGTGCAACACTTGCATCTACAAAACAACAACTCAAACCTTCAACATTTTAGTGGTTCATGCAAATATACTATTTAAACATATGCAATTCTGTCAGTTTTGCATTCCACATTTTAGCAGAAATATTCCTAAATTCCTGCCAGTGTCAAGCTGCATCAAACACTTAGCCGAAAAAAACATACACAGAAATCTACTGTATGTTAAAAAATAACATGTAATACAAAATTAAGAGTTGTGTAAAGGTTTATAAATTAAGTGCTCACATGAACATTTATGAAAACTTGGATTTTGAAGCTTTCTGCTGCAATCCACTTTAATCTTTACTCTTCTCAATCTAACTGCTAGCTTGTCGATTCTGTCTGATCTATTTCTTTATACCAAGTTTGGTTAAAGCTCTATCTACAACAGGGAAGATTTTATCTGCTCATGACCTTTTCACAAATCCCTCTTCTAAATGTCCAAAAAATTCCATGAATACTGTGTTGTAAATATTCTGCAAGACACCGCCGTTCAGATTAAAATACTACAAGTTTCTTATTGGTGAAGCTGACATCACTCAGTTCTTCTCATTTTAATTCAGGAGTGAATTATTTAAACAAGATGGAGGCTTTTCATTTCTGACTTTACCCTTTTTTCCCCATCAAATTTATATTGTTCTTAACAGGCAAAAATTAAAACAGATTTCTTTCTAACTCTCAACAACTAACTTTATAATTGTGCTTGGGTATTATAGTTTAAGCTTATTAGTTTTATCTAATATATTATTAATAATTTTAATTGCATGTATGTACTTTAAAATTGCCATTGCAATTTAGAGTTCATAACTTTTTCTCAGTGCAACTTTTACCTACATTGTTCACTTTTCATCTGACACCTTGGAGGGATGAGTGTTCAGAGACATTCTCATCTCAGTTTTAGCGCGTATCAAAAAGCTTACCATTATATGACATGGCTGCTCTGTCTTCTTTTTCTAGGTTTTGCACGTAATCTCTCAGAAGGGACCGATGCCAGTTACACGGAATATGTGGCTACTAGATGGTACCGCTCCCCAGAGCTCCTCCTCGGGTATGCATGTCATCTTTTCAGCTTTGTTCAGCAGTCTGGTCAATACACTGACACACTGGTTTTTATTAGCCATTGTCATACCTGGCCTTCATTACTAACCCTTACATCTGCGGTGGCAGGGCTCCTTATGGGAAGGCAGTGGACATGTGGTCAGTGGGCTGCATCTTAGGAGAGCTGAGTGATGGGCAGCCTCTGTTTCCAGGGGAGAGTGAAATCGACCAGCTCTTCACCATCCAGAAAGTGCTGGGACCCTTGCCTCCAGAGCAGATGAAGCTTTTCTATAACAACGCTCGCTTCCATGGGCTGAGGGTAACGTCAGGCCACCCCTCACACTCTTCACCGCTGTCGGTTCAGCTTCTCTTTCATGCTTTTCTTCCGTCAATCTTGACTTAATCTTCTTACTCCAACTCTGTTTTCTCCTCTTCTCTTATTTATTTTCCCTCCCTGCTGTGTCTCTGCACTTTCTACTTGTCTTTTTTTTCTTTTGACTGAGTTTTCTGTGCTGTGACTGAACGGATCACAATGACTCATGGTGTATCTGTGACGCACTGTGAAGGAAGGCTGTGATAAGTCTTCTGTGGCAGACTGGTGGCACATCAGACCTAAGCTGTCCTTCCATTCCCTTTCCTGCCTGCAACTAAGCATGAAAAATTACCTTCTAAACACAGATAGCAATTTTTTTTAAAGACATGTCGCTGCCATTTTAAAAATTTGAACATTTGTGCAAAGATTCTGACTGATATACAGCTCATAAATACTGCTTTTCTGCACAACAATGGTTTCTCCAGTAAGATCGGCATATGTTGGACATTGAGTGGCAGCTATTATTAGTACATGCTGAATGAAAAAAAAAACCCCTACCACCACAAGATTTCTGTGCTTGTTGTCATTTAAATGTGTGGGCAGCTTGTAAACTTAAATGATTACAGTAGTAGACATTTGCTCTTAAGCTGCTCTCACACAGTCAAATTATTTGAAAGGCACAATAAATAAAAAATGTGAAAACTAAACAGGTATGGTGCAAACATGCAAACTGTTTTAATTAAGATTCATGAACAGGAGGTCACCTAGTGTCTTCCCTCCAACACTTTGTGTGATGCTAAAAGAACAGTGTCAATGTGAGAAGCAGTCATAGTCATGCAAACTTCTATGGGGATTTTAAAAACGTTTTAAAACATTTGTGTATGGACATTGTACTTAAGATTGTCTATCTGGGTAAAATTCTTTACAAATTTAAAATCCCCATAGAAGTTTGCATGACTATGACTGCTTCTCACAT